CAGGCAGGGTAAAATCTCAGAGCCTTCACTGCTCTTGATAGTTACATATGATTGATTATCCAAGTAAGTATTTGCAGTCTCACTAACTCCAAGGTAAGTTTTTGTACCTCCCTCTGAAGCCTAGAACTCACAGCTGTCACTTGTGCTCACACAATGACAGCAAACCCACTAAAGAATACCACCTTCATACAAAAAATTCTTGAGATTGCCTGGCCACCCTATAGCTACTAAAATGAGGCAGGTGGAGACTAGTGGAGGAGGCTTCCCCTTCTGAGGACCACCGTCAGGTTATTAGAGCCATCGTGACTGTGAATCTGTACACCAAAGATAAGATATATCCTTCTTACACCTTGATTGATTACATGCTTTCGCAGGCTGACCTGTAAATCCCTGCCATCAATCACAGAGGCTATGGGAAGCAAATTTCATGTCTTGCTCATGCTCTCCAGTTTAGCCCCAGGGTGACACAAGCCAGACAGGTTTTCAGGGCACTGAGGTACCCATACTTGCTTCCTTTCCTCACCTTGTCATTTAGGGACATGGCCAGTAAAAACCAATATTTACATAGCATTTCTCAATAACCGTTTGATCCTTCTCCCACTCTGGAGATGTAGACAAACAGAATTTGTATTCTCTTTTCACAGAGGTTCTATGAATCAAAGTGGCCTCACTGAGACCCAGATCTGGTAACTGATGAAAGGGGCACATAAACTCCTGGCTTCTGACCAGTTCCTCTGTACCATTCCACTCTTTGTACTTCACGAAACTCAGGAGCCCAATAGATGGTTCAGTAAGTTGCACAGTACATAACGTCTCCCTCGCCAACTCCTCACAGGGAATGCCCGTGGGCTACATGGTTCTGCATCCTCCTGAGCATCTCCCCATGGCAGGTATGCCTGACATACAGCGGGGTCTGCTGGGGCAGAAACGCTAAGGTCCAAAACAACCCTGCAAGCACACTTGCACAGAAATTGAGGCTCTGCTCCCCAGCACCCACTCTGGTCCTCTCATAGGCTCCTTCAGCCACTCTCTAAGTGGTCCCATGGGATGCATGGGAGCACAGTGGCTAGGGAGCAGGGTCTAGAGCCAGACGGCCTGCAATTTAGAATCCTGGCTCAATCACTTACTAGTTGTGTGATCTTAGGCAACTTATTTAACCTCTCAGTGCCTTAGTTTCATAATCTATAAAACAGGAATAATAACGGTACCTCTATCACAGGATTGTTGTAAAGATTACATGAATTCAATAAATTACTCCAAACAGGCCTGTACTCAATAAATGTTATCTGTCACCACTATCGCCACCACTACAGCTGATCCCATTTTGCTTAGCAACCCACTTTCTGACTGTCAGGCCTGGTTCTGAATTCAGGTGAATTTCTCCAGGTTACCCACACCAAACTCTACAAAACAGCAAGCTAGCCTGGCCCAATCTGCCCTCAGAAACAAAATTGTCAAGGAGAATGTGACAAGCTCCACAAATATTTCTTGTTGAATGAATACGTGCATTGTGAAGACTCTCTCTTTCACAATACACATTCTGGAAGAGAAATGAGCCTCTCAGCTGGACCATCTCGCCACCTCTTCTGTGAGTAAATCTATGTGGTAGGCAGAATGAGGACACCCCTCCCCCAAAGATGTGCACATCTTATTCTCTGGAGCCTGTGAATATGTTACCTTACGTGGCAAAAAGGACTTTACAGACGTGATTAACGTTAAGGACTTTGAGATGGTAGATTTTCCTAGATTATCCAACTAAACTCAATCTAATCACACGAGTCCTTAAAAGCAGGGAAACTTCCTCAGCTGTGGAGAATCAGAGAGGCGGCAGCATGAGAAAGACTTGACCCACTGTTGTTGGCTTTGAAGCTGGAAAGGGGCTAAAACCAAAGAATATGCGTGGCCTCTAGAAGCTGAAAAAGGCAAGAAAATGGATTTCCCCTGAAACCTCCAGAAAGGAATGTGGCCCTGCTGACACCGCAATGGTAGCCCAATAAGACTGGTGTTGGACTTCTAACGCTCAAAACTTTAAGATCATAAATCTGTATTGTTTAAGTCACTTAGTTCATGGTAACTTGTTCCTGCAACAGTAGAAAACTAATATAGTCCCTTCGCATTTTTCTACTAGGGAAAAACCACAACCCATTACCTGGGCACTAAACTGTGGGATTAAGCAACAGAAAAGCACATATTTATCCACTAATTCACTCATTCATTAACTCACTCAATTAATTTATGGAGCATCTACCATAGGCCAAGTACTGTTCTATGTGCTACAGAAAACAACAGTAAGCCAGAGCGTCATGATTGGCTTCTGTTCCCATGAGCTTATGTTCCAGAGGTAAGAGAGAGAGATAGTAAACAGGCCAATAAATAAATAAAATTAATTGCAAACAGCGATAAGTGCTGTGAAGAAAATAGGACAGGATGATGAGACAGAGAACACAGGGGGCAGAGCTCGGGGGAAGGAAACCCCAGAACTGGTGGGAGGATGGCTGTCTAAGAAATGACATTTGAGCTGAAATCAAAAAGGTACAAGGAGCCAGCAAGGCAAAGCCCCAAGTCAGTTCCTGAGCTACTAACCCATGGATGACCCAGCCTTCTTAAGGATACTGTAAGAGGGGCCGGCTCCGTGGCCCAGTGGTTAAGTTCGCGCGCTCCGCCACGGTGGCCCAGGGTTTCGCCGGTTCAGATCCTGGGTGTGGACATGGCACCACTCATCAGGCCACGTTGAGGCGGCATCACACATGCCACAACTAGAAGGACCCACAACTAAAATATATACAACTATGTACTGGGGGGGATTTGGGGTGAAACAGCAGAAAGAAAAAAAAAAAAAAAGATTGGTAACAGTTATTAGCTCAGGAGCCAATCTTAAAAAAAAAAAAAAAAGGATATTGTAAGAGAGGAAATACCCACTTTGAGAAATTGACACAACTTCTTACTCCGTGTAAATTGCTACACTCATTTCCCTGTCCTCACTCTTTACAAGCATGACTTTTAAGCCTTTATTTTTTAACGTATTTTACAAGCTGTGTAAAGGCAGCATTATCCCAGAGTCCCTCAATGTCGTTCTCAGTGAGAGCACTCAGCACTCTCCTTAGCTAAATAGGGATGTGGTTAGATTCCTGGAGATGGCTACATTGCTATTACCATGATGGGTTCCCCTGTGGCTGGCTGCTGCATGTATCAGTGCCATCGGCTCCAGGACCAAATCCACTGCTCAGTATCAGACCAAGATGGAGAAGCAGAACCTATGGAGACCACAGCTACCTCCCCTGCACACTTAATTAGGACAAAAATATCAAAGTATGCAGGTGGTGAGTAAATATAGAAAACTCTCTGCTGTCCTCTCATGTAAGAACGATGGTCTCTGATGTCTAAAACATACATACACAGAACAGGCCACTGGGTTTATCTGCTGCATAGGGTCTTACTCTTACATCTATGGTGAAATAGTGAAAACAGGTCCAATTTTGATTAAGATCGTCATAGAGTCATTAATTATTTCTCACAATTGCTCCTTTCACGGGTTCTTTGTGAAGGTCAATGTAAATGTCCAAGTAATCTGTCTTAAACTCGAATTCCCAGACATACACAAATAACCCAGAACAGTGAAAATTACCTGTTCACTCTGCTGAGAGTTTCTTCCACATATACCTTCCCATGGGAGAAGGTGACTAAGCTGAGACACGAAAAATGATTCCAGTTCTGGAGCTGTTCTAACCATTTCTGTTGTTTATAATGTCAAGATAATGAACTTTCAAATACAGTTACTATTGAGTGAGCAGGTTTTTGTGTTGAGGGCGTGGGGTGCAGAGTTAACACTTCATAGTGATAATTCATTGACTCTGAGAATGATGCTCAGATTGTAGAGCCAGAATATCTGGGTTTGATTTCCAACTCCACCATATAATAATTATATGTCCCTGAAGAGGATACATCTCTGACCAAGCATCAATCCTTTTTTCTCTTAAATTGAGGTCAAAAGCAACACCGTTTCTGCTTGCTTCAGAGGGTTCTCACAATTACCAAATGAGACACATTTTGTGAACTATAGAACGTAAGTGTAAACCAAAAGTCCCCTGGCCTCCTCACCCTTGGTGCTGCAAATATGTTGTGTTAAAGGAAACAGCCTAAGTCCCAGTTCTCTGCACTCCACACAGGATTCCTCTCCTCAGTTAACCCCTCTGGCATGCCCTAGTGGTGGTGGGAGTGGATGTCCACCATACAAACAGACCTAAGACCTGCTGCTTGACAGCCTTCTTCTCCTCTCCTCCCATGCTCTTCCTCTGCTCCACTGACATTTGTCACTCTGCCACAAGTCACAATTGACACTGCTGACAATATTCCCTGGACAAATAACATTCCCTAGAACACCAAGCTCGAGGCCCAACCATTAGGGAAACTAATTCCACTCATGGGTTTTGCTCTTTCAAGAAAGGGCCCCCAGGAAAGAGCTGTTAGGCATTGCTGACCAGTTCTTTGCAGCAGTCAGCAAACTATCTGTTAAGGGCCCGATAATGAATATTTTAGGCTTTGAAGGCCTAAATATTGTGTCTCTGTAGCATACTCTTCTTTGCTCTTTTCACAACATTTAAAAAATGTTAAGAGGTCAGCCTGGTGGCATAGTCGTTAAGTTCACGTACTCTGCTTCGGCAGCCCAGGGTTCACAGGTTTGGATCCCAGGCGCAGACCTAACACCGCTTGTCAAACCATGCTGTGGCAGCATCCACATAAAATAGAGGAAGATTGGCACAGACGTTAGCTCAGGGCCAACCTGTCTCACCAAAAAAAAACAATGTGAAAACAATTCTTAGCCCTTGGTAATTATAAAAAGAAGCCACAGTCTACATTCGTCCCAAGGGCCAGAGTTTGCCAACCCCTGCTTTATGCCACAGCCCTCGTTTATGCCATAGCAGACTTTGTGTGTGTGTGTGAGGAGGAGTTTGTGGCTGGTAAGGGGAGTTGAGGGAAAGCTAGTTAGGTCAGGGGGGTACCTGGAACCACTGTCCCCTTAGACATCCAGATCCTGTTGCTCAGTCTGATCCATTCTGGCAGATTTCTTCACATATGGCTTTCTCTCAGGGACCCCATCACTTCCCTCGATCCATCTTCTTTTGGGGAATCCTAAACCATGAGAGACATCAGCACATGTCTGAACTCCAAAATGTAGCCAGGCTTGAGTTCTTACACTCAGGATTCCTGAGCTCTATGGAAATCATGCATGTCGCTTCCCTGTCCCTAAACATTCCATGACAGTTAAGAAGGCCACTCTGCCCACAGCACATGGCACCTTCCGGTTGGAGTTACCCATGATATAATCCAGCCTGGTAAAAATGCATCTCTGAGTCACCCAGAATATTTTATATGTTTATTAGCTGCCGTGTTGATTATCAAAAAATGAAGGGGGCAGGGAGCAAGGTGGAGGGAGAGGTTGAGGGGGAAGAGGAAAAGGGGAGGGAAGAAGAAAGAGAGAGAGGATCAAGAGTGGGAAGAGAAACCACTGGAGAATTTTTTGTCTGGATGTCACTATCGCAAAGTTATTTTTACCTGATACTTACATCAAATTCATCAAACACTGTCTCATAATTCAAAAGCAAGATTCCCCACCATTCATGGTTTCTAAAGGAGAGGGAATAGATTTGGTCTTTCCTTTGATGTCTTCCTCTTTTAACAGAAAACTTCACTTTGTTTCTTCTTCATTTTCACATATATGCCATAAATCAAGGCCTCTACAAGCTTACTCATTTGCCTAGTTGCAAATGAGTAAATGATGCCCCCTCAGGTTACAAATGAATTAGAAAATGGCACCCCTTCAGCTCTGTGTCATGGCACAGTTTGGCTAGCTAAAGGTGCCTTTGTCGAAGGCAGGGAAGAATTAGGAGGTGGAAGTCACCTCTTAACCTGACAGATTCAGTTGTGCCCAAGGACACGTGCGTTGTGAGCAGAGCCAAGATGATTCTCATCCCGACAAGTGTCCTTTGCCAGGCTGCACAATCACACACTGAGGCCCTGACCTGCTGGGGTTTTGAATCAATGTCCATAGGCCAGATAAATTTAGCCCATTTTGTGTAGCTACTAGTACATGCTGACACAGAGGTTGGTGATAGTATTAATGAAGATGATGACAATAATGGTTGGGGTGGTCCCAATAAAACTCGTCAGCTACAGAGTCTTTGCTCGTTATCATTTAAGGAGAGCTGATTTTGAGAGGGATGGAGATAACTTAGAGACACAGAAGGTCAAGCGGTCTGCAGTGTTGGTAAGGTGTAGAAGGAGGGTGACTAACAGTCATGAAGACATGCAGCTCAGAAAGAAGAATCTTAAAAAACTCATTTTAAATAGCACGCTGGAGCAGACTGCTGAAGTTGAGGATGGATGTCTGCTCCCTGCAGAGAATGCTGAATTCCCAGAGGTCTAAACTGAAAGATGACTTTCTTCAACAGCTGGAAGGAAGGTTTGGGAGGCCTTATTTGGGACTGATAGAAGAGGTAAGCAGCTGAGAAGCCAGGAGGCCAGTGATGAGGTTTCCATCATCCAAAAGGGAAAGAATAGAACCTGGTGGTGGCCTGGAGATGTGTGAGGAAGAAAAAGTCTGAAGCTGCCTGGGAGCTGCCTGGCAGAAGCCAGTGACAGATTGGAAGGGGGAGGAGAAAAGGTCATGGTGGAGTCAAGGATGACTGGAGTTCCCTGCCTGAGGAAAGAACTGATGGCTGTGTTTTAGTTGCCAAGACAACAAGCCCAAATGGCAGCCAGAGAGGCGACAGAGTCTCTCTCTGGGATTCTCCCACTCTTGGTTATGCAGCGCAGAACTGATCTTCCACTTAAAGAACAATGTGCTATTCTGTTATGTGAGGTGTGTTTATCACCTGAAAAGACTCACCTCCAATTGTACCAGAATGCTGTAGGTTGCAATCATGCTTCAGAAACACATATTTTTCAGCATTGTTAATGGAAACAAACATCTGAAACACCTAATCCAAACCCATTCGTAGGAAAGAGAAATAAAAACATTCCAACCCTTAGCATTATGCATAATTTCTTTAAACACAGAGAACGTTACAACAGAGATCTACCTTTCCAGTAGAGAATGTACTACATATTTTTCTCTGGAAACTAAAGATACTACATATAAATTTGAAAACATATATTTCTTCAAAGGATTAATTTTTAAAGCGGCCAAAATTGCTAACAACCAGGGAAAGTACCAATTTATAAATTATGTTCTCGGCATATAGTATACATTGTGAATTTGCATGCATATTAAATGCAAATAACCAGAAGAGCATAACATTAAGGCTTCAAATTTATATGTGCAAAAGACAGTAAATTCTAACATTAAAAGTCTTCCCAGGAAATATTAACTCCCCACTTCCCATGTGATTGTCATGCAGTCAGCTGAGCAGTCTCCTTGCAGAGCTTAAGAAGTCCAGAACCTGCACCAGCCATGCCCACTCCCTCACCAGGCAGAGCAGCCAAGACCATTTGGCATCATGTGGGACAGAAGTAAGGTTCTAGTGTTGCCCAGCTTTTCAAAGATTTTTTTTTTAATAATTTGACCAAAAAAAAAGGTACCACTAAAACTGTGACCTTTGAATCACTAATAGGCAAAATAAGAGATTTGTGAAGTTAAAATTTTATGTGTCAACTTGGTAGGCTATGGTGCCCAGTTATTTGGTCCAACACTGGTCTAGATGTTACTGTAAAGGACTTTTGTAGATGTGTTTAACATTATCCATCAGTTGGCTTCAGGTAAAAGAGATTACCCTGGATGATCTGAGTGGGCTTCATCCAGTCAAAAGCCTGACAAGCAAAAACTCAGATTCCAGGGGAAGAAGGAATTCTGCCTCAAGACTATGATATAGAAATCCTGCTTAAGTTTCCACCTGTCAACTTGCCCTATAGATTCCAGACTCAAGGCTACATCATCACTCTTGCCTGAGTTTCCAGCCTGCTGGCCTGCCCTATGAGTTTCAGACTTGCCAGCTCCCACAAGTACATGAGCCAATTCCTTAAAATAAATCTCTTACAACATACTATATACACACACACACACACCCCCATATCTATTGATTCTGTTTCTCTGAAAAGCCCTAACTGATACAAGATTCAAAGGGATTTCCAGTTTAGAACTAACAAAGTGTACAGTATTATAATCCACCCTGGTGGGTGGGTGAGTGTTGTTTGATTTTGATTACAATGTTAAAATTAATGTACTGTCTTTTAAATTTCTTTTTTATTGAGATATAATTGACACATATCATTATATTAGTTTCAAGTGTACAACATAATGATTCGATATATGTATGTGTTGCAACATGATCACCATAGTAAGTCTGGTTAACATCCATCACCACACGTAGTCACAAATTCTTTTTCTTGCGATGAGAATTTTTACAATCTGCTCTCTTAGCAACTTTCAAATATACAATACAGTACTATTAGCTATAGTCAACATACAGTACATTCCATTCCCAGGCCTTGTTTTTTTTATAACTAGAAGTTTGACCACCTTCACCCATTTTGTTTAAACAGCTCCACCACTGTGGAGTGCAGGATTTTCCTTCCTGATACCCATTTAAAGAATTTTCACAGTGAACTCTAAGAAGAATAGGATGAATTGTGTTTGTAAAAGAGGAGGGGCTCATGAAAATCTTTCTGGTAGCCATGTTAGTTTTGGGGCTTGACTTGTTGTTATTTATGTTACAAATTCTCTGTGGATGCTCAGTCTTAGGGGACGGAACTGTCCCTTCATTTATGGCCTAAAAGCACAAATCACACTGTCAGCTCTAATGAAGCAAATATCCATTTCAAGTTCAGATCAAACAATTTCATGGGTTTAATGCCACTCTGACCGTTCTTTCTCTAGCTCCTTTTCTCCCTTGGCCTTCTCACACAGCTGCTCACAATGTCGGCTTCCAAGCCTCTGCTCTTCCCTTCTCTCTGTGACATGGAATGCTTCTACACACACCTTGATCCAATTACTGTGTGCACAGATGATCCTAGGCCTGTGCTTCCTTCCCTGACTGCTAGCTCTTATCACATTCCTTTATTTATTGCCATCAGTAGGATCTCCTGGGAGTGTGTGGAATGAGGGGAAGGGTCATAGCACATCCACGCCACAACAGATCAACTTAACAAATTTCTGTCTTTTGCAAACTGTTCCATTTCCACTGTTCTATGACTTGTAAGCTGGAAGGAGAACTGACCTATTCCAGAAGGCAATTGAACATTTGCTGTATAATCTTCTGGATACCCACTTTTTTTTTTGGTTTTGTTTTTTTGGACTGGTAGGGATGGGAGGAGTTCCCCAAGGCAGCAATCCAGATTTGACTGAAACTTCTCTGTAACTTCTCTTTATCTTCTGCCTTCTCTATCAATCCTGTCATCAAATCCAACCCCTTCTCCCTCTTCCTCCCTCAGCTGCAATCCTTCTTATCATGTCAGCCGCATTCCTCCTCCTGAGTTATTTTATAAGCCACAGCAAGAATCACCTCCCCTAAATGTCATTTTGATCATGTAACTTGTTGCCAAATGCTCCAAATGTTTCTTCTGAAATTGAATGTCAACCTCAGATCTAAAAGTCCACCAGCTGACTCCCCTCTTCCCCCTGACTCTCATCCTTCCCAACTGTGACCCCACTCCCCTGCCCTACCCCTGTCACTGTACCCTCTCTGCTCCCCAGACAGTGGGACAAACCCTTCTCTCCCATTATCCTCCCCCTAATATGTTCCTGATCTCCTTTGAATCTCTACTCAGAACAGATATCCCTTAACATTAAAAAATTACCCCTGTTCATTTTCCACTGGGAAAATTCAAGAGCTGATAGGTTTCCTTGATCCCACATTCCAAATAACTAACTCATCATGGTTTTCCACCACTCTTGATTCAGATCATAAGGTTTGGACTCACACCCAGGAAATCCTGGGGCAAAAAGTTGGTAACTACCTGAGTAATCACTATCTCAACTTCATCCAAAAGTACCCTTATTTTTACCATTCTCATGATGAAGTCTCAAATGAGAAACCTCCCCCAAATTTAACCTTTCTTCTTGGTAAATTCTCTTAGATATGTAAACCTATCTACACAAGTATTATTCAGCATGCATATCAGAATACATTTCCCAT